TGCCCCCTCAAGGGAGGGCACAAACCCAAAGAAGAATTCCTGCCAGAACAGGTCGCTGTTGTTAATATAAGGGAAAGGAACACTGAAAGCCACTTTTGTGAAGATGATAAAATACCGGAGGATTTGAAGATTAGAAAATTCAATCCTGTGTGTTAACTTTGTAACATTTACAAAAAATTTTAAAAATAATTTTTTATTTTTGTAAAAAAATATTTTTTTTATTCTAAGAAAAAATAAATTTTTCATTTGAGTTGATTAAAAACAAGAAAAAAGGAAGTCATGAGGCCTTAATGAACCAGGGTGGTGGACCATACTGAGGTATTAACTTCCTTAGGTATTTTAATTATCCATCAAAAATCTTTCTTTTCTATTAAATTTTGAAAATCTCAAGCAGAACTGGACTGATTTAGGGGAATTGAGGACCTTCTTATATCTGAGATCAAATCAGTTCTAAAGCAAATCCTAAAAAAGAAGCATTTAAAAATCTTTTTTAGAAGGTCAACATGTGTAGGTATGTCTGGCTTGGGGTGGGAGTGTGAAAGTGTGAAGTATTCATTCCTTCTCTCTTAACCAAAATTCCCTGCAGATGCTACCATCACAAGAATGTTTTTTGGTGGTGGTATCTTAGTTCCCCAACCAGGGATTGAATCTGAGCCACAGCAGTGAAAGCATTGAGTCCTAACCACTGGACTGCCAGGGAATTTCCAGGATTGTTTTTAAAAAAGAAGGCTGGGAGGAGCCTCAGGGATGATCTCATTTGCATATGGCAAATAGGTTTTGTCTTGCATGCGAACGCCAGTCCAGCAGTATTGATAGTAGCTGGCTGCATTGAGGATTCTAAGGATACAAATGCTCTGGCTTAATGGAGAATTGTCCCGAAGAATTAGCACTGTCTTCCCTGGGCACATTTTGGGAAAAGCAGCACATATGCTATGCATTTGCCATCCTTGACTCAAACCTCTTATTTTATAGTCAAAGAAGCTGTGTTTGAGAGGTTATGTAACTTTTCCAAGCTCACACAGATAGGAAAAACTAGAGTGTGCGGTGAAGTTAGTCTTGTCTAATTTCATGTCCGTTGTTCTTTCCACTACTTGTTACCAAATGCGGTCCCACTGTGGCCTCTCTTTTCACTAATTTGGGGTGTGTGTGTGTGTGTGTGTTTGTGTGTGTGCGTGCACACGTGCGCCCATGGGTCTTGGAATGGAGAAAGTGGAGAGGACTGGCCCTCACTTCTGCTAAATCTCTTTCTCTTCTAAATCTGTGGGGAATGCACAGATGGGAATCAGCTCAGCCCTTCTGGGCATCAGCTTCCTCAGGGATCAAATGAGACCCAGTGGCCAGCCAATCTCTAAGGGCCCTTCGAGATCTGAAATAGTCTCTCTCGTACCCTTTACACAGAGTAGCTACTCCAGGAATAGTTATTGAACTACGATGGAATTCCCTCCAGGATAGCAGCATTTGGCCTATTCACATTTTATAGGAAAGGAACAAGGAGGGAGGCACAGTGATGTGTCTTCGGACAACACTATTATCTGGGATTCTTCTCTCGATGAAACTGTGGTGTTATGGACTGAACTGTGTCCCCTCAAAATTCATATATTGAAGCCCTAATCCCCTGTGTGACTACATCTGGAGAGAGGACCTTTAAATAGGTAAAGTTAAACGAGGTCCTAAGGGTAGAGCCCTGATCCGACCTCTATGACTAGTGTTTTTATCAGAAGAGACCCCCGAGATGGGTATGCACAGAGAAAAAGGCCATGTGAGGACACAGGAGAAAGTGGCCCTCTGCCGGCCAAGGAGAGAGGCGTCTCGAGAAACCAAACCTGCTGAGAGCTTGGCCTTGGACTTCTGGCCTCCAGAACTGTGAGAAAATAAATTTCTGTTGTTTAAGCCACCCAGCCTGTGGTATTCTGTTATGGCAGCCCTACCAAACTAATACAGATGGTTTCCTTAATTATCCAAGGATGGAACTGTCGATCCCAAAGTCCTTTGCTTTTTTCCTTTATTATTAACCTTCTGAGCTCTGGACATTTCACAGACTGTTAGCGTCTCTAGCTGAAGGGGACAAAGCTCCTCAGGAGATCTGGAGCAGAAGGAAGTGCATGGAATTTGTCAATCAGAACACTTGAGGTTTTGGAAGGTGGCGAGGTCTCCACCAAAATTCATGGTCCCCAAAGAACCCAAACTTCCTTCGGAGGGGGCTGGGGGGGTCCTGTCCTCTTGCTTTTGAAAAACTACATTTTTGCTGCCCAGGACTGGCGACATGATTTGCAGGTTCAGTGAAAAACGGAAACATGGAGTCCCTTGTTCGAAAACGATGGAGTATTTCAAGATGGCAGCAGTAGAGAAATTAACCCAGCGCTGGCCCTGTGCAAGCTGCCCACATGCCTGCCCGGGAAGCGGCCCTCAGGTTGCCTCTGCCACATACCACCGGACAGCAATGAGGCAAATCCATGTGGAAATCATTAATCTGAGAGTGTTCTATAACACACTGACTTTGGATCAATTTTACAGGTAAGGCTAATGTTTAATCACGTATTGGTACATTGAGATCAGGACTCCAGTTTACTTGCAAGGAATGAGTATACCAAAAAACTGGGTTGGGGGCTTCCCTGGTGGCGCAGTGGTTGAGAGCCCGCCTGCCGATGCAGGGGACACGGGTTCGTGCCCCGGTCCGGGAAGATCCCACATGCCGCGGAGCGGCTGGGCCCGTGAGCCATGGCCACTGAGCCTGCGCGTCCGGAGCCTGTGCCCCGCAATGGAAGAGGCCACAACAGTGAGAGGCCCGTGTAACGCAAAAAAAAAAACTTGGTTAAGTTCATTTCGCTGAAACAGGTAAAGTTTAAACAACTTTTATTTCAAGAAATAGTGCTTCTAGACTTTCCTGAAGCCAGAATTGTTCTATAAAAGTATCACAGAATATTACACAAGATTAAAAAACACAGTATGATTCCTAATAACTTGAAACCTTTTTACAAAGCACATCATTCATGACCATAAATATGTTTCATCTGTCATTCAGCCGGTGACACACACATCTGATAAAGAGCTAGTTAATTTTAACATATGTACAGAGTCTATGATAAAGACTTAAAGTTATCAAAAGATTCAACTATAACATATTAAATTTCTTTAAAAGAGTTCACCTTAAACACGTAAAGGAAACATAATTTACCTATGCATTTGAATCATCTAAAAATAAAACAAAAATTACTGTTAAGCTAAAAAAAAAAAAACTTCTTGGGAAGTTGGCTAGGATACTGGTAACTTTCAATGAGGTAATAATCGTTTTGCTGGTATTTAAACATCTAATACATGACAAGAATATTTTCAAGAACACAGAATTTCAAAAGCAGTTTTGAATTATGCTTTTAAAAAATCAGAACCTAGTGAAGGCCTCAACAATAATCATACAACACATACGGTGCATTTAAATTATGAAACATTCATGAGTTTGTTTTACTGAAAGAGTTCCTTATATAAATTCATAACTAGATATATTTTCTTAACACTTAAGCTTATTAGCCAAGTCAAGAAAACAAAACAAAGATGAAAAAAAGTCTTCAGTCCTTTTATGCTGTTAAGAAAATAATAAAAATTTAGCAATTTTAAGCATATGATGAACACTTTGAGGCTAGGCACAGAGTAAGCACGCAATCTTTGTTTTGTTTATTTATTTTTACTGCCAACATCCTTAGCCATGCCTTTCTGTTAATCAGTTTTAGCAAGGAGAGGTAAAACACATGCATTATTTTCTGGCAAAAGCGTATGTTGAACAATATGTGAACCATACTGTGTGTCACCCTTGGGGGTCCATTTTCCTTTGTCACACTGAGAGCAAGCAGTGAGACTGACACTTCTGGAAAAAAAATAAGACTAACCAAATAGACATGGCATTCCGATCTCAAAGTGCAAAATCACTGAGCTAAAAACGAGGGCCTTGAAAAATTCCAGTGGTTAAAAATGAATCAAAACCACACTTCGCAGGCCGTGGAAAATGGATTGAGATTTCACCGATGATGTCAAGTTTCAGAAACTCAGGCACAATTCTAGCCATCTTGGTTGGATAACATTTGTATACTCATGTCCCTACAACTTTCAAAAGATAATACTGTTTTAGTACCCCCCAAACAATCAAAACCCCACAAATCCACCTGTCTTTCTACTCTGGACGAATAGCGACTTAGGACAGAGTCCCTGGGCGCTACCGCTCGCATGCGCACTTGACTTCCGCTGCACGGGCGTACCCCGGGGGAGGACCCGGGGGAGTTTGGAATGTCGGTTGTCATGATTGCCTTTATTAGTTTACTAAGAACAAGTTAAAAAAAAAATACTGTGTTTAGGGTAAGGTAACATGGCATCTAATCAGAGGAGACTGGAAAGGAGGCACCGCCTTCCGGGCTCTGTAAGTCCCGCCTCCTGTGACTCTTCTCCACCTGGTCTGACATCCCGTCTCGGCTGCAGGAGGAAATAGGCTGCTCCTACTGGTGGACGCTTTGATCCCGATGAATGGAGTCAACATCAGGATGCGCGGTAAGATGCAGCCGAACTTCAGAAGCATCTTCTCTTGGAGGACCATCCTGGGGAAGTCCCTTCTGGTGCCTGGGCCCGGGCTGCACCAGCTCCGTCGTCGTGCCGTCGCCGCTGAAATCAGTTTCAAGAAGATTGATCCCTTCATGCTCCAACCGCTTGTCCGTTTTATGATTTCTCCAGTGTTCAGAATTCAAACGATTAACTTCGGGCATGTCGTTATTCCATTCAAATTTACTCTCTGGGCTGAATGTTGGTCGGTTGGAATGCAGGGTGGGAAGGTCAGCCGGCAAGGTCAAAGGAGGTGCTTCCCCAACCCTACGCCTCGGGTCTTCATCTGACTCTGCTGGTGCCGAGAGCTCAGCAGACATAGCCAGGAACCCATCACGTTGAGCACTTTTAGTCTTATTTGCTTTATTTTGCTCATGGTGACTGTTCAACAGTGCAAATACTCTATCTGCAGCCTTCAAGTAATTAGTCCAGTCAACCAGACTAAGTCTATAGTTCGGTCTGTCCTCGTAGATGCTTCCATTCACACTGTATAGATCCTCCAGGCCTTGCCAGTTGACGTCTGCAGTGAGACTGGGCTGACTAACCTTCCCATCCGTCCCATAACTGTCCTCTGTGAAAAGAGATGAAGGTGGATCCTTAGTGGAGAAAATATTTCCTACTTATTGGCTAAATAACTTACATTGTTCTTGCGGTACAAGTCAATTTGAAGTAAAACACTAAAAAGTATGTTTCCCTAGTAATTTGTTGTCAAGGAGGGGCCTAAGGTTACAGAAGTGACTGAATGATAATGAAATTTGGAAAGAAGATGGAATGAGTGAGAACTTCTATGACCAGGCTTGGCTGGTACTGGAAATACACTGGTATTACCGGTCGGGGGGCTTATGTTCTACTCCTGGCTCTACTCAAGTCTCCTGTACAATCAGGAAGTCAAGTGAATGAGTCTCTCTGAGTCTTGGTCCCTCATCTGCCACATGTGGGAATAGTTGTGTGATAAAACCTTTACTACTTATAGGGCTGCTGGATGAATGCCCTGGTGGTGCAGTGGTTGAGAGTCCGCCTGCCGATGGCAGGGGTCACGGGTTCGTGCCCCAGTCCGGGAAGATCCCACATGCCATGGAGTGGCTGGGCCCGGGAGCCAAGGCTGCTGAGCCTGCGCGTCCGGAGCCTGTGCTCCGCAATGGGAGAGGCCACAACAGTGGGAGGCCCGCATACCGCAAAAAAAAAAAAAAAAAAAGTCAAAGTAATTTAATGTAATAGGCAACGCTTAGTAAGATATTTTTATTTTATATTCCCTGACACTCAGTATAAAAGCACATTTGAATGCAATTAAACTCTTCACAGTAAATGGATCTATTTCTTTGATTGCTTTTTTGCCCTAAAAGTTCTATCCTTTAGATAAATCAATCATTGAGTGGTTTTTCACAGCATGCAAAGAATACACCAGCTTTCTCTGTCTCGGATTTTTCTACATCACTAAGATGACTATAGTTCTGCAGAAAACAACAGCTTTTCTCTAGGTGCGCCCAAGAATACAATGAACTACCCACAAAGCAATACAGATTAGCAGGAAGAGTGAGTAAAACTATACAAAACCCACACCCTTAGTATAACCAGAAGATAGAGAATTCTAGAATCTTCAAATCACCTGTAAGTGAAAAAAAAAGTTAATACCAAATCCCAGTAGAGCTGTATGTCACACTTTGGGCACCAGCCCTGGGAAGACTGCATACAAGAGAAAAGAAGAAAGAGAGAATGAAGTCAAAAATGGATTTGAAACCATTGCTGGAAAGAATGTTAACCTGAAGTATAAAACACTGTAGAGTCTTGGTAAATCGCGGTACTGACAATGAGGAAAAGACCTAGAAGGGCACATGAATCAAGGTGGCGGTCTTGAAAGGCATCATTTCAGGGAGAAAAGGAGACAAAGGAAGAGAGAAACAGCCTTTGGAAACTGGCGATAAAGGAAAAAGGAAGCCAAAGGGGGGAAATTTCAGGTCCTGCAAGAAAAAGAGAGAAACAAAGAAATTCGAGGACACACAACCTCTTACAATCCCATCCCCCAATAATAAGGAAATAAAAAAGTAAAAAGAAAGTATACTTGGTTACACAGAAAAGGATCTTCTTAAACTAGACATCTTGTAAATACTTGAAGTCCATGGAATTAATAGAAGCAGTCTAAATATAAACAATATTATTAGAAGAGAAAATAGAAAATAAGAATAAAAAGTCTACCATCTTATGAAAACGCCCCTGCCAAAATAAACCGTAAGGTGAAGACAACCACAACGTAACACTGCTAAGTAAATTGAACCTTCTCAATCAAGCATCCAAGGATGTAAAAGTCACCTTAAATCAGAAATTAAAGTAGGAACCAAGGGCCATACATTCAGTCAAGCTCTCCTTCAAGTATCAAGGCTACAGAAAAACAGATTCAAACATGTAAGGGTGCAGAGAATACTGCACACATCAGTTCATCTTGAGCAGTCTCCTAGAGGATGAGTTTCATTCAACCAAGAAATCACTGGGGAAACTTCAGCAAAAGGATTGATGGTGAGCATTTAACACATTTATCAGATCCAGGAGTAAACCAAAATTAATGAGGTAGAGAACAGAAAAAAAATGACATATCTAATTAATAAATCAAAATCCTGGTTCTTTAAAAAAAAGGATCAAAACACATAGTCATTAGCTTACCTAATTAAGAAAAAGGGGAGAAATTTCAAATATACAAAATAGAAAATAACAAGGGAGAAATAATCATTGAAATACACAAAACTTAAAACACAAGCAACTATGTTGCAGACATTAAAGTGAACAGATTGGAAAACCTAGATGAAACACATAATTGTCTAGGAAAATACATTTTATTGAAATTGACCCAATAGAGATAGAAAGCTTACACAGAACAATTTCCAAAGAAGGAAAAGAAAGGTTTATAACCTTTATATAAGTTTATGAGAACTACTATAGGAAATTTCTATCAGTCTTGTAAGAATTACACTACAAAGAAGCACCAGGTCTCTATGATTTCACAGGAGAATTTTACTAAACCTTCAAGGAAAAGAGAATCTCAATGCTCTACAATCTGTTCCAGAGCATAGAAGATCGAAGAACACTTTCAAACTTTTTAACGAAGCAAGTATAACATTGTTAGCTGTGGTAGGCAGAATAGTGGACTCACCCCCCAAAGATGTCCACATTCCTAATCCCTGGAAACTGGGTATGTTGCCTTACATGGCAAAATGGACTTTGCAGATGCGAATTAAGTTATGGATTTTGAGATTGGGGGGGTGGGTTATCCTGGAGCAGTCAGGTGGGGCCGATGTAATTCCCAAAGGTCCTTTTTAGAAAAAAGGGAGGCAGGAGAGTCAGAGAAAATGTGACCTCGGAAGCAAAGGGGTGTGTATGTTGGCGGGGATGGGGTAGAGGTAGGTATTGAGATTTGAAGACGCTTTCAGCTTTGAAGATGGAGGAGAGGGCCATGAACAAGGAATGCAGGCAGCTTCTAGAAGCTGGAAAAAGTAAGGAAATGGATTCTTCCCTAGAGCCCCCAGAAGGAACGTAGACCAGCTGATACCTTGATTTTAGCCCAGTAAAACCCATTTCAGACTTCTGACTTCTAGAAAAGTCAGAGAATAAATCTGTGTTGCTTTAAGGCACTGGGGTAATTAGTTATAAGAGTAATAGGAAACCAGTACAATACCTAAAAAGAGAATGCTAGCATAAACAGAAAGACAATTTCAGACTGAAATCATTTATTAAGATGATGCAAAAACCCTAAATATTAGTGAAGAGAATTCAATATTATATTAAGAAAATAACACATGATGACCTACTGCAATGGAAAGTTGGTTCATTCTTAGCAAGTCTATTAATACAATATACCATATTAGTAGATCTAAAGAGAAAAATGATCTGCATGTCTCCATAGATGCTGAAAAGGCTTTTGACAAATTCAACACTCATTATTGATAAAAACACTAAAAAAAGAATGGATGGCTATTTCCCTAACGTCATAAAAGTGTAAATATCTTAGTCCTAAACATGCTTCTCACTTCATGGGAAAATCCTGAAAGTCTTTTCATTAAGAACAGGGACAAGGTCACACTGTCCTGAAAGCATTAGTTTATCCAATTAGATAAACCAATCGGAGACACACAAGTGAAGAAGCAAAGCTTTCTGTACTTGCAAATGTATGGTAGTGTATCTGGAAAATCCAAGAAAATCCATGACAAAGTTAACTCAAAAAAAAAAAAATTTTAAAGGTAGCAGGATGTAAAGTTAATATACAGAAACCAACAGCCCTCATATACACAAACAATAATCAAGTAGAGGTTTTAAGGATGGAGGAAAACCCTATTTACAATAGTAACAAAGAAGATAAAGTACTTATAAATAAACTTAATAAGAATGTGCAAAACCTTTAAGAAAATACTTTTAAAAGCTCCTGAAAGACCCATAAGTATACTTAGCCAGATGGAAAGATGTGCTTTGCTCTTGGATAGAAGACTCAGCATCATAAAGATATAAATTCTTCCCAATAGCTAATACTTTATAATAACTATAAATGGAGTATAACCTTTAAAAACTGTGAATCACTATAATGTATGCCTGTAACTTACATGATATTGTATATCAACTATACTGCAATAAAAAATAAAGAATTCTTCCTGATAATTCTTTCAGAAATCAGACAGAAAAATGGTCAAAGACATAACCAGATAATATACAAAATATGTAAAGTGTCCTTTGAACTTTCAAAAATATGTGCAACTCTGCTCATAATAAGAGCAATACAAATTAAAACCATACTGACATACCCTTTCTTTCTTATTTGATTGGAAAAAAATTAAAAAGCCTGACAGCTGTCAAAAGCAAACACTGTCATACATTGATGATGGGAATGTAACCCTTATGGAAGAGAATTTGGCAATATTTAATACATCCACATATGCATTTACCTGTTGATACAGTAACCCCACCAATCCATGACTAGGAATTTACTCTGAAGATATTCTCAACAACATGAAATTACACTTGCACAAGGCCCTTTATTGCAGTACTATTTGTAACTGTAAAATATGAAAATAACTGAATAATACATAAAAGAGCACTTGAATAAATTATGCTTTTCGCAGTTTTGACTTTGGAGCTAGGTGAAGGCATTACATACTAAAAACCAAAATCAAATGAATAATGATGAAGATAAAAAGAACCTAAAATGGAATACAAACAAATAAACAAACCTTACTTTATTTCAAATGAATAACATAACCATAATCAAAGAGGGCGGGGCACAGAACAAGCCCAGATAACTTTGAACGTAGCACTGTTTTTTGTTAATCAAAAGAGAAACAATTGAAAAACACACTGAACTCCAGACAGCAGGTTTGTTTTTGCAGTAGTGTGATTTAGCAATTCTGAAATTGCTCTCTGTGTACCGGCAGCATTTAACAAATGACTTAATCCACTGGGGATAATGGAAACTGGATTTCAGTGCCTAGCTGTCCCTCCGCGGCACACTTCTTTTCAGGGTGCAAACTGCACAGCAGCACCCAGGGCTCCTGGTCCTGACCCACACCTTTAACAGCCCTGACACAGGTCCCCTCTTCGTCTTAGGAAGCCGACCTCACCTCCAGCCCCTTGAACTCCAAACCCTGGCTTTGACCCATCTCTTGGTCTAGTGCCTTAAACAGAAAAGTCCAACAGTGCTAGCAAGGCAGCTTGAAGAGAAAACGGAGCCCTGAGATGTGACTGAGAGAAGAGACCCGGGGGCAGCTTCCTCAGGACAACACAGAGCAGGGCAGTGAAGGCTGTGTTTTTCCTTTCTGATCTCAAGAGGTTTGGATGGTTCAGAAAATGCATTCGTGTGCTGGACTCTGGGCTGCCAATGAGTGATGATGGAGATGGTGTTGTTGTTGAATATCTTTTTGTGTTTCTTACAAAATACAGTAGCATTCTTTTATCACTCATTACCCCCTTTCACATACCGCTTTCTTCATGTGAATGTTTTGGGCCCCCATATTATACCTGACTAATAATACCCATCATCATTGGGGCTTGCTATATGTTAGGCTCTGTTCTCAGCTTCTGACTAGTGAGGCTGGGATTTGAACCCAAGGCAGGGTGGCTTCAGTGTCTGTGCTCTAACCACAGTACTTTGCAGCCTCTAACACACAGCTATGCCACCCGTAACTGTCTACAAGGAACGCACTGTGGCCACAGGGGCAAATTAGTCAAAACAACCAAAAGCGGTTCCTTAAAAGCTAAAGGACCCAGTGATCCCATTCCTGGGCATATATTTGGAGAAAACTCTAATTTGAAAAAATACATGCACGCCCATGTTCATAGCAACACTATTTACAATAGCCAAGACATGGAAGCAACCTAAATGTCCATCGATAGAGGAATGGATAAAGAAGATACGGTACATATATACAATGGAATACTACTCAGCCACAAAAAAGAATGAAATAATGCCATTTGCAGCAACATGGATGGACCTAGAGATTATCATACTAAGTGAAGTAAGTCAGATAGAGAAAGTCAAATACCATAAGATATCACTTATATGTGAAATCTAAAAAAGATACAAATGAACTTGTTTACAAAACAGAAACAGACTCACAGACATAGAAAACAAACTTATGGTTACCAAACGGGAAAGACGGAGGGGAGGGATAAATTAGGAGTATGGAATTAACAGAAACACACTACTATATATAAAATAGATAATCAACAGGGCCTACTGTGTAGCACAGGGGACTCTACTTAATATTCTGTAATAACCTATATGGGAAAAGAATCTGAAAAAGAATATATGTATATACATGCATAAAACTGAAACACTTTGCTGTACACCAGAAACTAACACAGCATTGTAAACCAACTATACTTCAATAAAAAGAAAAAGTCGACTTTACATTTGGAAAAAACAAACAAGCAAAAGCAATGTGGACAGAAGCATGGTCGCTGAGGGTGGGCACGGCGTGTCCTGCTGGCCTGCAGGGCGTGGGACAAAAGGGGCAGGAAGCAGCCATGCCAGCCTTAGGCGGCCAAGAAGTGACCGTGACCGCCAGCAGCTCATCAAAGGGTAGCGGCATCTGCTCTCACAGGCAATGGGAAAAATAAACGCCCCATCAACCTGTGGATCTGATTCTGCAACACAGAACTTATTACTTTCAACTCAAGCCAGCAATTATTTCCTGAGTAGAATGGGGGCCACTTTACTGAGCTGTGTCCCTACTCTGAGCTTGTCCTAACCGGGAAAGTGACCAGTGGGAATAAGCAAAGCATTTCAGCTGCCCTGCCTCATGGACCTCCCACGCCAAAGAAAAAAAAAAAAAAGGAAATTGAACAGGGAACAGACTGGCTTTTAAAAGACCTTCTAAATAAGCCTAAGGATTAATTTTCGAAAATTCACAAAACTGAAGGCAGTTTACAAACTCTTCTGTAGTCAGTCTCGTACAAAGTACATTTTCTAAAATATTCTTGAATTTTCAAATTCCAAATTCTTCAGGTGTGATTGTTCTCATTTTTCTCAAAGGCTTTTGTAATCAAATTGCATGATTCAAAATGCATTTTAATTAGTTTCCTAAAATAAATAAATAAATAAAAATCTTAAAGAATCGAAGCTTCCAAAAACCCATTAGCGGTGCCGTCACGGGACGGCTGTGGGCTGGTAAACTGGGACGGCAGTGTTTTCGGCCTTTCCACATCTGTTGCCTTTCAATCCAACAGGATGCAGTGGACGGGGGGAGCACATCAAGCACTGCCTTTGGGTGTCCAGTGAGAGCCCAGGTCTGACAGGTCGATGCCCTCCTGTTTCGTCATTTCCTGCCTACGATGTGGATGGCAGCTGAAAGGTAGTTTGCCTCATGGATTATGAAGTGGTGGAGTCTGAAAACGCCAGTCATTCTGAGTTAAAAAGGATCCTTAGATTTGTCCATTGGTAGGGAATTTAGAAGAAAAAACAAAACAAAACAGGTAACACGAGGTTGCCCTGCACACACACGTTCACTGGCCCCATTACCAGGGAAGGGACGCCATGCCCTCAACGACTAAAGCTACCAAGGCTTTGCCCAAACGACCCCAGAAATGATGCATTTGGCCCCGTTTAGTGATGGTGGTGACAGGGATCAGGGTAGGGGGAGTCCCAGATCCTGCCCTTTACTCATGACTGGAGTGCAGTTAGCCATTCTGCATCTCAAAGCTGTCCAAGGATGGCTCGGTGAAGAAGAACTCTCTTCCTCAGCTCTGACCAGACTTGTGTCTTAAGTAACCTGTTAATACCCTTTTCCCTCTGTCATGACAGAAATAAAAGAGGGCCAGACGGAAAATCCCGCAGCTGTAGAACTGAGTGCATCATAAAATAAGTCAGTATCTAGTGTGAGGTCCACTGAAAATGCCCCACTTCAGAAATGTCTTCACGGGACCCCCGGGAAGCAGGTAGATCAGTCCTGGGGTGTGAGATGTTACCTAGTCAGCCCACAGCCTGGGGGAGACCCGCGTAAGAGGGGGCTGTCCTGCTCTGTCTTACGTGTGCTGGTGCGGGGTACGCAGGGTGGGTGCGGAGGCAGAGTGAGGAAAGGAAAGGAGAAAGACAAGAGGGGAGAGAAAAAGAAGAGCTAGAGAGACCGTTATCAAGGATCCTCAAAAGTCCAGCTTTCTCTGTCTTGTTTGCTCACACCTTCCCCGCCATCATTCAGCTTCTCATGGGACCAATGAACTGCCCTCTGAAAGGAGGAACCTGAGACCACAGCTCAGGAGGCTGGAGGAGGGGCAGGGGGGCCACCAGGGTGCCCCGGACAGGCGATAGTATTCTATTTCTTTGAGACAGTATCAAGATGGGTGACACCAGTGAGGTCCGTGTTCCTTTGATGAAAGTGTTTCTCCCAAGAGGATTCGTGAACTAAAGCAGTGACACATCCGTGCCTCAGTTTCCCCTCAGTAAAGTGGTAAGGACAGATCCCTCCTGCCCCACACGGCATGTTTCTGACAGACCTGCTTGAAGTCTAAGCTTGGAGTAGAAGTTTCTGTGCAAGGACTGCCACGGCCGCCAGGCGTTCTGGGTCCCCCTCCCCGACCCCGGAGCACAGGGAGGTAAGCGTGATGGATGGGGGGCTGGAGGGGATAAGAGGGCTGGGCTGAGGGCCGTTCGTCAAGCTTTCATGTGTCAGGCACTATTGTCTCCAGGCTGTGCTGGGGCCTTTCTGCGAGACTTGATTCCAGATACCCTGACCCCGACTCCCACGCTTCCTATTCACTCACCACCACCCGGCAAAGCTTCTGAGCCCCGTCACCGCTGCTTTCACCACCAAAGTTAATTAAAGACTGTGAACAAGGAAACGCCTTCTCTTTGCTCCAACTTCGGCTCTAGCGTGCTCTTAAAATTCCCGTGACGCCTTTCGTGATTTTGACTTCATAGTTCATAAAATCTCTACCTCATTTCTGTGAAGCCTCTTCACCAAATCAACGTGTAAGCACCACCAGGAAAGTAATTCTCCCCCCTTCCTCCCAGGGCTCCCGAAGGTCATTCTGTTTTCTCCCTCTTCACATCATTCCGTGCTTAAAAGCACCATCAAGCACGGGACTGAGCGAATGCTCTGAGAGACATCTTGTTGTGACAATGAGTTGATTTAAAAGCGAAATGACAGATCTGTCCCCAGTGACACAAGACGGTGGAGAAAGCTGTTAGAACATGCATGCACCCCAAGCTACGCTCTGTGCGACAAGGTGAGAAACAGAAATGAGTTAAAGTGGCTGAATCATGCAATGACTGGGAAAGAAGCTGCCGGGGAGAATAAAAAAGTGTGAATACCTGTGCAGGTCATAGCTTCCTCCATCTTTATTTCCTGATATAGGAAAATATAAGAGTAATTTATGTTAGCTTTACAACTCATAAAACCACTCACTGTGTCATGTTCCACGCACAACATCTAAACCCTAGAAAGAAATATATCATGTGAAATACAGACAGTGCCGGAGTCCAACAGAGCTTTTCTATTAGACAGGTTCAAAATGAGGATGGAAAGCTATAAATAAAAAGGTTTAAGATAAAACGTATCAGACTTCACATGAAAAATGGGTGAGGGTGAGATAGGAAAGCCCATTTCAAAGCGATAAAACGGTACTTCCCAAAGTCCATGTAAGTCTCAGGAATAGTTAACTTTTGGTTATTTTAGACAAAACACTTGGAAAAAAGGGCCAATAATCATCTCCCTCAGGAAGCGTCTAGAAGGTGGACAGGACTACTTGAAGCGTAACGGTAACAAGAGGCTCCGCCTGGCGTGTCGTTCACCACTTAGAGACTCTATCAGGTTTCACTAAGTGGAGCTGCTATGTCATCACCAGTAGGAGTGCTATGTTCTTCAGGGGAGAAATATCCGGGTATAATATTTCTAGTGCCTCTAATACTTGTTTCAATTTCCAGGACTTAGGGGGCTTTTTGGGGGGTAAAATTTGAGGAAAAGGTCAACAGATAAGCAGGATATCTGAAAAGATTTAAGCTGAGTGGAGTCAGTGACCAGAAGACCTGGCTGGACTCTTCTGGCTGGCAATGAATTCCAATAAGGTTTTAACTGAGGGGTGGTGACTGACAGCTGTGATGGGACCGCCCACAGGATTTAGAATTTCCTCTGGGGTCCACAGCTTGAATGCCGTGAGGACCCTATAATGCTGGAAATGACAGGTGACGATGCTGATCATTTCAGGATGCGCCACTGCCCCCCCCGAGTCCCCCATCAAGGCTCATGGCCTGGGGAGCTGCTTACCTTTATTGCTGGTTCTGCAGGGGACCCACAGAGACACAGGCCCTTAAGGGCACTGAGAAAACTCAGCTGCCCAACAGAGGGTTTTTGCAAATTGCTCCCCACTGCCTTTGGGTCTAGCTCTTCACCCTTTTGGGGTTGGCATGCTGTGCCCTTGGCCAGCCTCAGCTCTTTCTCCTCCTATGGACAGCTGACATTGACATTTCCACAGGAATTATGAGAAAATAAGTATTCTCATTAACCAGGAAAGAGCTGGGACGGGCCCTGAAAAGAACTGCATCTCCATGAGCCAAAGGAGAAATGAGTTTAACATTGCAGACCAGGGAGGGAACATCTGGCTGAGTCCATACAGGCCCTCTTATACTTTCAGATCTCAAGACCACGTTGTGCTCAAACATCTCTAGTTTCAGATGGGAAATACTTGCAGAAGAAATCTAATTCAATGTGTCGTGGGCAGGGATCCAACTGGGGGAGTTCCAAACTCTGAGAAGCAGAAATAGGGCATTGTGTGTTTCCATCCCAATTCTCTTAAAAAAAAATAGGATATCCTGGTTGACCTAGAGTGATCTTATGACTGTTGACATCCATAACAAAGAACTCCCCAATACTTTCATCCCGTTTTCCAGCGGATGCTTCCATCAGGAATTGAGGTTTACTAAGAGAACGGATCTTTGGGAGAGATGGAATGAAACACTCCCCAAATCTTCGGGGGTATTAAATTTTTCATTAGTGCACCAGAGCTAAATTAGAGAACAAAATATGTTTGGAATTGCCTGGCAAGTTTCCCCTGTAAGGATCCCAAACTAGACGTTTCTATGTCTTCTATCCCCAACTACATGTTTCAAAGGCAGAAAACTTGACAACAGAAAGAATTTTCCAGGTACTATGGGACAACAAAAAATTGTTTTTCCTTACCAACTTCTAGGCCCTTAGGTCTTGGGTTGCACTGCTTATACCCTTGACAGCTCCTGAGCTCCATCAGCTGCATGTGTAGCTGATTCAAAACGCCCCGTTCTATTGTGTGCACGGTATTTGTGAGCTGTGGATGAAGCGGCCAGGACAGTATCTTTAAGCTCACGTTCTGCTTATTCCATTTTCAATAAGCTTCATAAAATGAAAACCTATTGACTTACCTGATAAGGATCAGTATTCATATCAAAATACTCCAAAAAGCCAGTGGCGAACTCACAGAAGAGAAAATTATGCGTGTCGTTAACTGTCCGCAAACACCAGTAGGTGTTATTGTTAGAACTCGTGCAAGCACAGAAAGAGCCCACTGTCGGTAAGAAAGAAAAACAAAACGAAAAGAATGAGAAAACCCAGGAGCCCAGCCATGCCAGCGTTCCCTATCTTTACATTTCGAAGTTCACATTTTCTTTCTTGCACATACTGTGCGTGTAGACGTTAAAAACAACTACATTTCTCCCCCTCGCTATACAAATTTGCTGTGAGATTAGGTGAAGATGCAAAACAACAATGGCAACCTAGGAGGGTGATGATAGGCTGAAGGCGAAGGTGAAGTTTCAGGCTCTTTCGTTTGCTGTCCCCTTAGCTCCGTGGGGCACTGTCTCCAAAACAGGGTGACTGAGTAGAGAATGGGAAGGAAAGTGTCGGAACTCCTACTGATGGTTGTTTTAATTTTTTTTAAAGAGGGAAAAAATGGTTATTTAATAAAAAGAGGGACCCAGTGCCTTAGCTTGCTCTGAATGTCAGATGCTCGCGTGTCACAAATGGTGCCTGGAAAGAGAGGGGATTCTGCAGCGTGGATGGGTTTGGAGGAGGCTTGAGCGCAGCTCAGTGGATTTAAGGAGGTCAAAATTTGTGACCTTGCAGACTCTCTACAACACTTGAACATGAGATGGACTGTTACCATGAACATCTTTTGTACCACGCAGAGGTCCACTGGTTAACTTGTAGAAAGTACGGGAAAGAGAGGTCCAATGAAAGCTTCTGCTACTCCCTCTGCCTGGGGTGCTGCACCCCCAACCCCTGTTCACATGATTCCTTCTCTCCACGCCTCAGGTTTCAGCTTCAATTTCACCTCTTCAGAAAGGCCCTTTATCCCTACCCTCTCTAAAAGGGACCCTTTTAAAAACTTTGATCACTGTTTCCTTCACAGCATTATTACAACTTGTAATTATTTTATTGATTTCATTTACTTTCTTTCTTTACCGCTCTTGGAATGTAAGTGTCTTGAGGGCAGAGAAGGAGGTGTGTCTCGCTCATCGTGTGTCTCCCGTGCTTGGCCCAGAGCCTGATGGAGAACAGATCGCCAGCAAGCTCTGTGACCCTCAGATCCCCACGTTCAAAGTTAAAGCTAGGCCTTTAAGAGTTCACTCAGCCTCGAGTATGGAAACACTATGTAAACATAACTGCAAACATAGACCCTGAAATCAAGATACACCAAAACGGAAAGAGAAACAAAAATGATCACAAATAGGCCGTAGTCTCCCCAAGGATGGTCTCTGGCTTCCTGGGAGTCTCCAAATCCCAGTTTGAGACACATTGACCTGGACTTCAAGTGCAAGTCTCCATGCACTTGAAATAAAGCAGAAATGAAATATATTTGGGACAAAATTGTTCATCCATTGATTTAGCTACTTAGTGGCAAAGCAGTCTTGCTGGGCCGGAAGTCTGTCAGGGGCTGGGTACTCTGTGAAATATCGTCAGGAGAAAAACCCACGGAGAGCTGGGCATTTTCAAACAAAACGTCAAAATAAAAATTTCTAAAGAAAAACGTAACTTTGGGCAAAATGATTCTAGTTGTCAGTATAGACAATGATATGATGCTTTCATCTAGAATCTTTCTAGATTCCTGGTTTCAAGCTGCTGAATTCCTAGTCTAAGTGACTGGGCACGAGCTGCTGGCTGTCGGGATGGTGGCCGGAAGTGGCAGTTAGATGGGGCAACTCACGGTTCCAGAACGGCGCCGTCTGCCAGTGGTTGTTGTCATGCGTGAAGCAGGTGAGGCCAGGAAGGCTGCACTCCTCACCCTTCCGCTGCCGTTTCTTCTCCTTCCTCTCTTTCTTCCTCCTGCGGTTCTCCTTGAAAAGCTGCAGTTTGCTGTCTACTTCTTGAGCGGCTTCTCTATTCCAATATAAGGGACTTTTTAATGATCAGAAAGCACTTTCTCAAGTCAAAATAGGATTGTTGCTATGAACCGCACACACATATTTAGGCACAAGATAGTAGACACACAATAATAGATGGCCTTACTTTTTCAGAGGGCCTCCAAACACAAAATATAAGCAGCAATACTGAAGACAAACTCATGAAGTGACAACGCTCTTAGAATTTTACTGAATCTTAACAGGATTGACATTTTCCTCCTATTGACATGCAAACATTGATGGAAATAAATGTCAATGTGAATCAGTAGATCCTGTTGGCCATGCCCTTTGGGCAAGTGGCTTAACCTCCTGGTGGCCCGGTATCTATCAGCCATGAAGTCAATGATTGGTCGGATTAGATGACTTGAATTAGTTTCCAAAATTCTCTTAACAAATCCTACAAAATAGGCTTGGAAAGAATTAAAAAAATTTTTTTTTTTATTATCTTGATCTTTCCATGAAGGGCTCAAATTTTGTTGAGGCTCAAATATTAAATTCCCTTTACACGCACATCTTACGATTATTTTAAAAAGATGTCTTTTTCTTCCAACTTATAGAATTCAACGCAATTGCATGCTGCTCTGCAGAACACACAGACCTAATTCAGCGAGTCCACATCTCCTAATCACTGTCCACAGAAAGCAGTGCATGGAGTACAATCTAGATACCAGCCGATACACCAGCAGAGAGCACACTTTAGAGCAGAACTAGAGCAGTTATTCAATTAGAGCAGAACTTCAAATGATGCCCCCTCCTGGGATTCCAAAAATATCGATTGCCATGGTCCCTTGGCAAGACGTGGGCTTGTTTTCAACTTCTTGAGCTAATGCCCTCCCAGTTGCATCTACTTTTCTTAAGCAGCACCACTTGGAACACAGGAGCCCCAGCAGTCTTTCAGAAAGGCCCTGCAAAACGTCCTTCACTCCCAGCAAATGTGGCAAAAACAGTTACTTACTTGAATGGGTGAAGGTGGCTCTTTAATTTCTCTTGCTTTTCCACACCTTTCTCTTTGTTGTAATAGCTGCAGGCAAGAAGGTTGAAAAGTGAGTCTTCATAATTGTGCATTTGATCAAACAGTTGATTTATAAAATGGAAGAAAAGTACAAGGTAGGCAGTTATTTTGTCGTATGTAACAATCTTTTAAGTAAATGGGACTTTTCTTTTAAGCTTCTGCTTAGGTTTATGACGTGTTTAGTTGGACATAAATGGTTTAGATCATTACAATATATGATATCAATTTATTAAGCTTTCTATTGGTAAAAGAGAGAAACAAGCCTACTGTGCATCACTGCAGCTTGTGTGAAAATGAGACCATGGATGGACACACACACACCTCTGTTTACTGCAGCCACACTCCTCAGGTTTCCTTCTCTTTAGATGTCCTCTCACCTCTCTTAAATTCTTAATTTTATCTTGCAAAGCTTCAATCTGGAAAACACGCATGTCAACCGCGGCATTTTAAGATCAACATTTTCTATACAAAGCCTCTTTCTTTCCACCCTATTTTCCGTGTTTACAGCTACACAATTACAGCTCTTCATCTGAGGTGATAATTAATTTGGAAACAAGCTGGGCATAGAATATGTCTACCTCTATATTCCAACCGATGTGTTATAATAAACATTAACAGCTGCCTCTTTTATAATTGAATCATTTTGCTCACAGAGATTTCAAGAGGTCATGCTTTTTTCATCTTCTATTTTGTTTTCAGTCAGGAATATCACTGTATCGCTGGAGAAGCAGAAGCAGCTTGTTCTTCTACTCTTCACATAATTATAAAAAAGATGAGTGTACACAGCAGGGCTGGCAAGTGGAGTGCGCTTTTGGAATATACCTTCCAAGTACATGGCCATGGCTCACCTCTTTATCAATGTACGCCTTGTGGTCCTTCCAGGCTCTGGCTGATTGATAAAGTTCTCTCTCACAATGGATTGTATCATTTGGAAGAATAAAGCATCTGCAAAAACCAAGCAAACAACATTAGAAACAGGTTTCTATTCTAATATTAAAAAGCAATTAAAAATAGCCAAGGGAACTTCATTATCCTCTATACCAGAGGTCCCCAACCCCCAGGCCATGGACCAGTAGTGGTCCGCAGCCTATCAGGATCTGCGTGGCACAGCGGGAGGTGCATGGTGGGCAAGAGAGTGAAGCTTCATCTGCCTCTCCCCATCTCTTCCCATCGCTCGCAATACCGCCTAGACCATCCCCTGCTCCCTCCCCGCCCATGTAGAAAAATCGTCTTCCATGAAACCGGTTCCTGGTGCCAGAAAGGTTGGGGACCGCTGCTTTAACTGTTTAATCTGGATGCAAGCAGTTACTTGGAGCTGAGCTACAGACAAGGATAAGTGGCAATGTTTCCTGGCTACTGGTGAGGACAGAGGATGGTATCAGAGAGACGTCATTCATCACAAAGATCAAGGCAACATTCAAGATTCACGCCCCCATGAACAAATATCACCCCCCCAAAAAAACCTCCATTTTTGAAAGCCCCACCAAATACTGTAGGAAAAAAAATGTTCTCACAGTTGTAACGGAAATGGTTGATGTGAAGAAATACAGAGATAGAAGGTGGTTATTCATCCCACTCATTTGTTACAAAGAGCCTGCCTGAGGTGTCCCATTAAGTTTGAAGCAAAGAAGCAGCCCCAGGGATGGACAGCAGGTGGGATGGGGGAGCAAATCAACACTGAATGAGAAACAAACCCGGGTCTCAATCTTTTAGCCTCTGGAACCATAACCACTGCGGGCACCAGGAGACCCGTCCCAGAGATAAAGATGCTGGCAGGGCTCACAGCACCCCACCTCCCTAAAGTGATGAAATGAAAGAGAAAACAAAGATCTAGCTAATAAATTCAGAAAGAAAAGATTTCTCTATCAAGAGAGCACACAGATTTTGGAAGGAACTGAAGACCCAGGGCAGTCGGTTAAAGCCGAAGGGAATCTCCTCCCTCCCCATCTCTGTGCCTCTCTGGGATCTGGAGAGGTCAGGTGTTTCTGCATCTCATATCCATCCTCAACCCACGCCATCTTTCTGGAAGCTTCTCCGGGACCCAGAGTCCTCCCTTGGGCTGTGTTTCATTTCTGAGAGCCTCACGCTGTAACTGCTCTGAGCCGCAGTGCCCGTGCAGCACCGAGAGCCTTTCCAGCCCCGGTAATGTTTTCCATGTGTTTTCTAGACTCCACAAAGGTAAGTGCTTCAGGGCAGAACTCCACTCCTGCTGAGTCAAGATGTGACTGGCATCACGCTGGCTAAACGCCCAGCTGATCAGCCTTCATGTGAAACTGACCCAAAGCAAACGTCCAAATCTATGACTGTTTGGACTCCTTGTTGCTTCTTGAACCCCCAGGCATGTATCACAGTGGCCAGCTCTGGGAACACCGTACGGCTGAGTGATATCGCTTTTTGTAAAGGGGCAAAATCGTATGATACGGAGGGATGACTTTGAACTCAATCCCCGCGAACACAAAGCCTTCCTACTTGTGCGTCACTCGGACAGTGGCGGGCAGGCCCACGGCATTGCCGCTGTCGGCCAGCATCGCGTCCCCATCACCGCCGCTGGTGGCCTGGCGGCCTCTGGGCCCTTGGCGACCTTCATCGTGACGCCTGGCAATGTTTCGTGGTCGCAGGACTTGCAGTTCTTCTTCTTCCAGGTTTATGTCATATATTTCGCCTTCAAATTCGACTGACAAGGAGCGCGTCTGCCGGGTATGGACAAATCTGGGCTTGTACTCTGGAAATAAGGGAAGACAGGTTAACACGGATGGCCAGGTGTAGTTTAGGAGGGAAGAAGATGATCGCCAGGCTTGGTGAGCATTTTGGGACGGGGCAAGCAGCACACACTGCATTGCTGAGGGGCCCATCATGGTGCAGTGGCCGGCCCAGGGGAATTCACACCGGGAGGGGCGGGCTATGGTCCTGGCTTTGCAAGTGCAGAGCAGTGTGCTGGATGGTGTGTTTCTCTGGGTCTCAGGCCTTTCATCCCTCAAGTGAAAGGGTAGATCCAGGTGATCTCTAAGACCCTTTCCCCTTAGGGCAGGCTGTGAACTTCTACATCAAGTTTTCAAAGTGAACTACAAAGCAGTTCGGATAAAGCTATTAGTAATAGTAATGACTATAGTTAGCTTTTAATAATAAAACTATTAATAATAGTAATGACTATAATGAGCTTTTGCTATATATTATTCCCATCGTCCTTATCTCTAATGCACAATCACGAAAGACAGGAATTATGACAATAAATCCTCACATTAAAAAATCTATCAGATTGTCAAAACAGGCTCATGAATTTGTTACCATCTTTATATTACGATGAGAAAACGGAAGCTTTGAATGTTACGTACTTTTGCCAGGTGACGCAGCCAATAGTTGTGGGATCTCAGACTACAACCTATCAGATTCTAAAGATTACAGTCTCCCCACGACACTGGGCTGCTTTCTCAAAACGGTGAAGGCTCCAGACACCTTCTATTTGCACAAATAGTAGAAGATCGCTCTAAGAAAAATTAAATTTTGCAAATGCTTTCATCAGCCAACTGACTAAATGCCTGGCCGATGGACAGTAACGCCAGGGGGAGATGAGTGTGCTCTCTGGTCACCAGAGACCACTGTCAAGGCTCATTGTGGGCTAGATAAGAGCTTTAACATGCACACACTGCTCCCCGCTGATCAGATGCACTCAGGCTCTGCGGGGGGGCCGGGGGGGGCCACTCAGTGGCCTTATGTGTCCAGCCCGCTGCGAAAGCAGGAAGAAAGGGAGCACATGGGCTGTGAGATCAGAATCATTTCATTCTCTGCAGGATGCAGCTCTCAGAGGAAACGCCCCTGTGCATTGGATCACTGAGAGCGCTCACGAATTCCATCATGACGCAAAAGAAGAGCATTCACTCCCGTTCTCGAACACACAATACTCCACGTGGCTTGAAAAATTGGCCCCAGGCTTCTTGAGCTTGTGCTCCACACGGAAAAGTCAGTGTGTTTTATGGTCAGTGCCTGGGGAGCGACAACTGAACTTCTTGAGAGAAAAGAGGCTTCCCCCACCTCCAAGCTGGACACTGGAAATGGACTTCTGTTAAGGGAGAGGGTCAGGGGTCCTGTCCCTTGTCGTTTTCCCATTTGAAATCTTTGTGTGAATTATTAAACCTGGCATTTTCTCTCAGGAGGAAAATCTCCAAAGTCAATGATTTTCAGCCTCTGAGGTTATTGATTCCTTTACTATTTTGTTGAAAGTTACAGACATCCAGAAACATGTGCATATATACACATAGAATATACTTAAAATTTTGGATAAAATGCTAGAGGCTCATGATCCTATAAAGTTCATCTGTGAAGGCCAGGATAAAAAAGCCTGTTCTAAGAGCTTCCATTGCACTCTAGTGAATGATTTGATTCCCTGGTTTTGGGTATGGAATTTAATTTAATGTATCCTGCTTTCCAAAACCAGTTCAGAAAGGCGTTATCATAGAAATAAGTCACTTTTCACATTACGCCACTAGATGGCACTAGACTCTCACTCTTTTACGGAAGGTGCCGCTTCATAGGAATCTGATAGCTGCCTGAGAAGAGTTTTCATGAAGATGCTAGGCACTGCTTCTCATGCTGAATTCGGCTAGTGTGACCCCGCCAGTCAATAAGAGGAATTAGAAACATATATCATCCTAAAACAGATATGCCGTTTAAAAAAGCATTTATGCTCCTCCTATTAGTTGAATGCACGAGCACTGAAACCTCGGATTTTTCTTTTCTTTCTTTCAAGTGTGCACGTTTTGTGTCCGCTGCTTTTACTGAATATATTTTCATCCTAAGCTTAATATTCACAAAGCAAAATTTCAAATGACCTCGGCTTTCATATTGTAAACAGAACTATTATTTGCTTTTAGCCCCAAACCTGTGCATTGATAATATCTAACATGTAGATGGATCAAGATGTTTTTGTCTCCCTAACATCCATTCCCAAAGGCCTTGGGCTGCCATTGAGAGGGTCACGGCGAATGGCTTACTCGGGGTCCCCTGGTTCCTTAGGTACTGCCTCTGACTCTTTCTCTGGCTTCTGCTGGCCCGATAACCGGCATCTCCACAATTGCACTCTTTGTCATTGTCGTGGAAGCTGCGAGAGAAGAGGGGCCTCGTGCTGTGCCGGACGGCAAGCAGGTCACCAGACCCCTTGCACTTGTGAATCCGAAGCTTGCCAGACGCGTCCTCGACACACCGCCACTTCTGCAAAAGCCAACGTGAGAGCAAGTTACCCATCCCGAGTCAGGTGTTCCTGATTAAAGACTGCTGCTTTTGTTTTTAGAACCCCGGCGGCACCCTTAAAAAGAGCCAAGGACAAAAGGCCAGCTTTTCAGTGACCCTGGACTACGTTGACTCCTGTTCTCTTAGGTATTTCCTTCACTGCAGGCAAATACAGATGACCACAAAGTCATGGGAAATCAGAGCTACCTCAATGACACCAGAGCCCCAAAATTGATATATAAATCCTCAGCACCCAGTCTAAACAGAGTCTTGAATGAAACATGTAAAAGCCCTTACTTAACTCACCAAGCCACAGAGCACAGCTGTCAGGGCTGTTTTCACCAGACCCTTCTTTTTCTGGAAAAACAAACGTGGCTGCTTTGTTCTCTGTCCTTGAATTTTCTAATGCGAGCCCGGGAAGAGCGGCACATGAGGAAGACAGAGGTGAGTTTAATCTGAGTCCATCACGGGGCAAGGCGAAGCTCATACAGCCCAGACATGAGCAGATGTGCCAGGCTTTCTCTGTGCTTTTTCTTATCCTTCTACAAACAGCGCACAGCCAGCAGAACAAGCCGCTCCCTAAAGAGGCAAAGGTTCACCTCCCCGGAGACACGCGTGAGGATCTGGGCCTGGGTTTTCTAGTTCGAGCTTTGTCTCAAGACAGCCATAGAGCTTGCAGGCTAAATTCCGGATGAGTATGCCCCAGGATCGGGTCTCAGTGCCCCCCACCCTGTTTCGTGAGTATCAAACCTGGCTGCAATAACAGCGCTTTGCCTGGGGGTGATTTCATGTGATCCTCTATAACTGACTTAAAGATCTAATAACCTTCCTTTTACTTTTCATTTTCCCCTTTCTCCCTCCCTAAAATGTTAATCTGGCAAATAGGAAGAACGATGCCTTTTATTTTAAATTGATCGTGTTTGTTACAACATGCTACAATGTATTATCAAACCTGTGTCTTTTTTTCCCTTCCATGTATGAGTGTCACCTGTGTAAAATTTTTATTGATACTTCTTTTCTTTAAACAGACACATTTCTAAACTGTGGCCAAAGCAATAATATTTGTAAAATTATGCATTTGTTGTGCCAGTTATGTATTTTCTTTTTTTTTTTTTTTTGCGGTACACGGGCCTCTCACTGTTGTGGCCTCTCCCGTTGCGGAGCACAGGCTCCGGACGCACAGGCTCAGCGGCCATGGCTCACGGGCCCAGCCGCTCCGCGGCATGTGGGATCTTCCCGGACCGGGGCACGAACCCGTGTCCCCTGCATTAGCAGGCAGACTCTCAACCACTGCGCCACCAGGGAAGCCCAGAAAACCTTCCTTAGTTTTATAACCACAATGCATTAAAAGTTTTCTTTTTTCTTTTTTGCCCTGTAAGAGCTGAAGGGACAAGTAGATTCCTGTAGAACACAAAAATATAGGCAAAATTTTTAGTGACTTAGTGTATTTTGATTACAACCTGTATTTTCCCATTAGCCAAATTCCTTGTTGATTTCCTATGGGATAGAGATGAAGAGAAAGTGTGTTTCTTTCCTGAAGAGTTGAATTTAACCACACGTAAGGTCTGGCATGGTCCTTGGCATGGATGATGTATCATACAAACTCAAATAGACATACATATATGCATGCACATGTACACACACGCACACACACGTATACCCACAAACACCACATACATACATATACCTGCACACATTCTTGTATGAAACAGGAGTCACTGACAAAAAAGCCAATTATTTTCTGTACCACGGACTCTCTGAACAAGGCATAGGCCCTATTAGATAGAGTAATTATCTAGAGGCTTTGAAAACCTTCTCACCGGCAAGCATACTAGGAATTTTAATGAAATATAATTACCACACACTGGCCACAGTCATCTTAGTGTCCGATATCATGACAGTTTTTATGGCTGAGCAATCAAACCTGGAAATAGTGGCAACTAAACGGTCATCTTACTTAGAGAGTTTACAGAGGGAGGCGGAGAAAGAGAACGTTTAAAAGAATTGCATGGATATATATACACTACCAAACGTAAGGCAGATAGCTAGTGGGAAGCAGCCGCATAGCACAGGGAGATCAGCTCGGTGCTTTGTGACCGCCTGGAGGGGTGGGACAGGGAGGGTGGGAGGGAGGGAGATGCAAGAGGGAAGAGATATGGGAACATATGCATATGTATAGCTGATTCACTTTGTTATACAGCAGAAACTAACACACCATTGTAAAGCAATTATACTCCAATAAAGATGTTAAAAAAAAAAAAAAAGAATTGCTCTGAAACACGCGGCAAGCCATTTACAGGCTGTAAATAATGAGATGACTTTGCATCGCAGAAGAGTTGCCAGAGTCAGATGAGAGCCCGAGCTCAGGCGAGGCTAATGCGACGTGGAATCAGCCTCAGAAACGAGCTTCGTTCAGTCAGCGCCCTCCCGAAATACAGACGGCACGCTGCCTCGCTTTCGTCTATGTTTTTGGACTTTCTCGGTAAATCAGTTAATGGTCAGATCCAGTTTTGCCCATCTTCTCCAACCACTCGCTCCTGCAAATTCCTTTTCTGATCTCCGGGACACCATCTCAATCCTCCTCCTGCCTCTCTGACGTCTGAGTCTGTGCTGATAATTTAGCGCACACTTATTCCACAAATGTTTCTGTACATCTACTGTGGGCGAGGCGCTCGATAAAACTATTTCAATCATTCCAGAGTTATTATGATTCCATTTTAGCCTTTCCAACTACACTGAAACTTGGGATGAAGGGCAAGGACCAAGTCTCTTACTCCTGAATCGTTCCCTGGAGTTAGCTCAGCGTTGAATCGCTCCATTGAACAATTATGTCTTAGTGTTTTTGACGGATTATATGTAACTTAAGGTAAATCACACCTGATGAAGAAGAGAAGGTTGGCTATTTTGGTTCAAGGAATCATGTGTGCAGCTGCTTGGGTGGAATCCAACCTAATGAGAAATGTCACATTATCATCACCTATTAAACTCTTACTCGATAGAAGGTACTGGTGTAGAGTGCTTTATGTAAAGATTTATTCATTTAATGTTCACAATAACATAAAGTGCTACCATAATTCATTTATTGGAGTAGGGTTTTGTAGTAGTGAATATCACCTATATGCTGCCTGGGGCTTGGGAGGGGCATTTCATACCCATATTGATGTCGCTTAGTGGGAAGGTCTGGACTTTCAAGCCAGAGAAGCCTGGATTTGAATTCTCAGCTCTGTCGCATTGCTGTGGGGCCTGGGGCAACTCAGCTACACAATGTAAGTCTCTGCAGGGTCATTTGAGCACTAGAGATAACACACAGGAGAACCTAGCACACGGCAGGCCATCAACAAAGGTAGCTGCTATTATTCTTATTCTTATGATTGTTACACACAGTTTATTATTTAAAGAATTTGATCTAATGTAAACTTGATGAGAGGCAGCCATTTTTAATGGAGATAAGTATTGGGTTAGGGATCTGAAGACCTCAGTTTTAATCTTCCTTTGCTGCTAACTCTATGGCCTTGAGCACACTGCAGAATCTCTTTGTTCTTCCAGATTCCACATCTGGTAAAATAATACTTGCTCCTCCTGGCTTTAAGGATATGTCATGAGAATAAATTGCTGAGTGTTTTCAGAGTTCTGAGGAGAAGATGCACTCCACGAATCCAGAGGACAACTATTAGAATTGACCTTTAATAAGGCTACCCAATCCTTGGGCAAGGTACTGTTCCCTGGCTGTGAACTGTCTTAAATACAGTAATTAGGATTTAGTGGGGAGACTGCGAGCGTCACCCTCCTAACTGTGCGACTTCGGTCAAGTTACTTTCCTGTCTGAAACTCATGTTTACATGGGCATAATATCTATTTTTTAGAAGAGTTTTCAGGTGTAAAATGCTCCATGTAAAATGCTCAGCATAGTAGGAGATGGTGATAGAACTTTGGTTACCTCCCTTTCCTGAAGTGACCACTACAGCATCATTATAGTTTCTACGTTTTTTTTTTTTTTTCTTTTTTTCTTTTTTGCGGTACGCGGGCCTCTCACTGTTGTGGCCTCTCCCGTTGCGGAGCACAGGCTCCGGACGCACAGGCCCAGCGGCCATGGCTCACGGGCGCAGCCGCTCCGCGGCATGTGGGATCCTCCCGGACCGGGGCACGAACCCGTGTCCCCTGCATCGACAGGCGGACTCTCAACCACTGCGCCACCAGGGAAGCCCAGTTTCTATGTTTTGAACTGTATATATTTCTCAGATTGATTAGGAATGTTCTGTATTCTTATTTAGACCTACTTATACCCATTTTCATGAGGAAGAAAAAAACTTTGGCGACAACTTGTTCGAAGATACACTGCAATGAAAGCTTAACTTTACACACAGGCACACACGCACATTAGTTTTCTATTATTATACGTCTTACTACATGGATTTGGTCCTAATTCGGGTCAAATCATAGTCTCTGAGATGCAACCACAATACAGTAGTTTTCTGATAACCTGATTATCCTTTAAGCCAGTGCCAGCACCATGGAAAGCAGTTACCTGCATGTGTTTAGAATTTTCATCTAGGGTGAGGGTGGGCAAAATGGGCAAAGGGGGTCAAAAGGTACAAATTTCCAGTAATAAAATAAATAAATCCCCAGGAGTGTAATGTACAGCATGGTGACTACAGTTCATAACACTCTATTGCACATTTAAAAGTTGCTAAGAGAATAAATCTTAAAAGTTCTCATCACAAGGAAAAAATTTGGGATTGACCTATGTACGCTACTGTGTATGAAGTAGATGGCTGGTGAGGGCCTACTGTATAGCACAGGGGGAGGAAAAAAGAAGGTACCATCTGTTTGCAGGACATATATTAAGTTAACCTTACAAATGCATTCCAGGGACTTCCCTGGTGGCATAGGGGTTAAGAATCCCCCTGCCAATGCAGCCCTGGTCCGGGAAGATCCCACATGCCGTGGAGCAACTAGGCCCATGCGCCACAACTACTGAGCCT